GGGGGGGGGGGGGGGGGGGGTCTTCTACGACCCTAAACCCGACACCCCTAAAGTGCGCAAGAACCCCGAAATCCTGTATAAACCCTAAATATAAGCCCAGAAACGCGGTTCTGAATTTTGGGGGGGGCCGGTGACTGTAGCACCTTTGCATCACCGGACTTCGTGGGTGGGTCAGAAGTCAGCTGCGGAGCCATACAAGCGTCGAAGCTCAAGATAATTTTCAGCAGGCGGTTTAAGGTTGAGGGTTTAAAGTTTAGGGTTTCAGTGTTCAGGGTATAGGGTAGTTGAAATGAAACCTTAAGAAAACCCCTCAAGCGCACGTAGACCAAGGCGTTTACAAGCCACCAGCCCCTAAACCTGGGGTTCATGGTTTTGGCTACCTTAGGTGTTTTTTCCCAACCATCATACAGGTTGCCACAGGAAAGGTACTACATTCTAGGGTCTAGGTACCCCCACTTATGACTTATGTCTTATACCCGCTTACCGATACGATGATGTTAATTACTGCACCTACCTACCGATTATGGCAGCAACCCTAAACCCTAAACCCTAAACCCTAGAAAACCACTGATCCTGCAAGTAGACCATGACACAACTTCTGTGTTCACGCGGCTCCCATCATCAGTGGCCCAGAGGTCACACTGTCATCGTCGAAAAGCTCACTTTCCGAGCCTTCGACGCCTCCCAAACTCCGCGGCGAGAGCAAGGTGCGACTTTCACCATACAGGGCGAAGAGCAGGTTGACTGGGAGCCCTGCATCGAAGCGCCGAAAGGCATTTGCCATGGTCAGCACATCCTTGGCATAGTCACGCTCAGAGGCCTCAGACGTGATCTCATCAAGAGATGCTGCATGTGGCTCAACCACAAACTCATCATTCACGGACCCCTCCAGCAGAGGGGCGTGCGCTGTCACAGACCCAGCTCCTTCATCGGGAGCCCCGCCGTTTTGATCCCTCTCAAGCTCGCGGCGAAGGTCAAGCTCATCTACGGAGTAGGCCACTGTCCCACGGCGCGATGCACCCGGTTTGCCCTCGAATCGGAAGACATCGGTGCTGAAAAGGTCAATGCCATCGGTTGCGCTGACGCAAAGCAGAGGCGGAGTCGTCTCTGTGCCATCCCAGCAACACCCGATCTGCTCAGAGAGCGGCCAGGCAGCCAAACAGACTCCCCTGGATTCCTCGCCTTTGAAGCGCTGCATCTCGAAGAGGAGCTGGACGTCGATGCGGCCTTCTCTGGTATGCAGACAGGAGCCTGCCTTCTTGAAGCTTCCTATGTCTGCAAAGCCTTCTCCTACGAAGCACGTAGCGCTGTTGGACCTGTGGCCTTCTGTGTCCCATCTGGTCCGGAGACGCTGCAGGTGATCTGCACCTCCCCCTCCAGATATGGTCGCTAAAAACAGCTCGTATGGCAAACATGCATGCGTCACGAGGCGTGCATCCTGCAGTGCCTTCACAGCACAAGACAGATCCGCCGGACCATCAAGGACCCAGCGGCAAGGCATCGATGTGCTGACATGTCGCGCCTGTGATACACCTTGAAGCAATATCGCCAGCTGCTTCCACAGCTGCAAGTTTCCCGGCGAAGCATCCACTGCATCGCACCGTACGGCAGACATGCAATACCATCTCCAAAGAGCAGAAAGCTTCAGCGCATCATCGTTGACCCCACGGCAGGTGCACAGCAGCGATACAGCCTCGCGGCATTGGAGCGGACTGGGTGCGATCGCCAGAAAGCCGAGTGCTGCCCTGCCTTGAAGCATCGCCATGCTGCACACACAAAGTGGGCATGGGGTAGAGTATGGTATAGTTCTGTGCAAGCCAACGAGCGGCTTTACATGTTCCAGAAGATATCAAGGCAAGCAACCCCAAAATCCTGTAGATACAATCACTTTGCAAACTAAACGTTGCCTTCTGCTCCAGGAAGACATGAAACAACAAAAAATGATTACCAACATCTCCACCGACACAACCTGCTCGCCAAAGTGATCAACATGCAGACACCCTATATCCTACTGTTGATGCCATAAATCCTGCATTACTCCCACCCTACACCCTGGACCGATTCCCGGAACTCCGACCGAATGGAAACCATCTCTCGAACGAACAATTTAGAGGGCCCTATGAAGAAAGGAATAGCGAACAGCGCTCTGGTGCTATTTTTAGGATTCAGGGTTTAGGGTTTAGGGTTTAGGGTTTAGGGTTTAGGATTTAGGGTTTAGGGTTTAGGGTTTAGCTAGACTAAGAACCTCACGGAAGTGCGCCTGGCTCCCTGGATGGGCAAAGGGACGAGGATGCCCGTGACATTGGGCCTTGGTTTTCGCTTTGAGCTAGAGGATCCGAGGACTTGGCAAGCGGCACAGGATACAGATAAGCTTGGGGCCATGTTCAACTCACTCCCTCAGCCCTAAACCCTAAACTCTAAATCCTATACCCTAAATCCTAAACCATAAACCCTATACCCTAAACCCTAAACCTTACTGAATCCCCTCATTCTCTGAGTCGATCGAGTGCCAGTAGTTGCTGGCTCGGGGTTCAGGGCCTCAAGGTGTAGGGCGTTGAGCGTTTAGCCGTGCCGGGTATTCCCATGGTACAAACAGAGGATAGAACTGAGTAGTAGCCTAGTTCCTTTCCTTTAAACTTGCTATGTTTACTCTGCTCAGGCCCTACACCCTAAACCCACCCTAAACCCTAAACCCTAGACCCTAAACCCTAAACCCTACACCCTAAACCCTAGACCCTAAACTCTCAGTCATGGTACAGTTGCAGGACCGAGGTACTCATGCATCGAAGCAATCTTCTAGCACGTCTTGTGTGGCACAGGTATATACTGACCTCAACCGTAAGCGGTAAGCTCAAAACCCTTACATGTGTTGCGGAAGGAACCCTTTAAAGGCAAAGGTAACCCTTGAAGAAACCCTTTAAAGCTAAAGGAACCACATTCTATTCAAGGCCTGTGTTGATTGTAGGGTGGCGCTGGTAAGGTGAGAGACCAAGTGTTCAGGGTCCAGGGCTTAGGGCTTAGCAGCCTCGGGGCAGTGTACCGCTGCCTGTCCAGTGCTGCATCGGCTCGTACTGGTCAAAGGGGCCGCCAACGTTGCCATGAGTACTTCCGATCCTAATTTCGGACAGGGTGCTTCAACCCTAAAAAAACCAGAACACCTAAACCCTACTTTCAACCTACCAACCCTAAACCCTGCCCTATAAGCCTCAAACCCCAAACCCTAGAAAGCCCTATAAAAGACCTATAAGCTCGAATTAATGAGAAACCCTAAAACCTAAAACCTAAACCCTAAACCCCTTATAAACCCCAAAGGCCCTAAACCTAGCCAAAGGCCCGGAACTGCATATCGGAAGACTGAATGAAGACCCCAAACGCTCAAGAGAAATCCTGCAGCGATGCGGGTTTAGGGTTTAGGGTTGTTCTTTTAGGGTTTAGGGTTTAGGGCTTAGGGCTTTGGATTTAGTGTTTCGGGCAAGTTTAGGGTTTACCCTCAATTTATGCCCAGCCCTAAACGCCCTAAACGCCCCAAACCTCCATCTTCCCATCAGCCAGGAGTCTTATCCACCACATGAAAGTGCCTGCAGGCCAAAGTAACCCGGTGCCCGGCATGGATCAGCCGGGAGATGTAGAGGTTGGTGGTGTCGCTGAAACCTTCGTGTTAAGGTTTATAGGGTTTAGGGTTTAGTGTCAAGGATCAGCTCCTAGGGTTTAGGGTTGAGGGATTAAGGGTTTCGGGTTTAGGGTCTTGTAGGATTTAAGGCTTAGGGTAACTAAGACCCCTACCTATCCTATGTCTTAGAAAGACCAATTGACAAAACACCCCAAACCCGGAACCCTAAACCGAAAGCCCCATATTGCAACGTCGACCGAACCGAACTTTCAAACCTCAGCACTCGAGATTTGAGCCCCGGAGCTTGGCTGACTCACGAAGCAGGATTTTAGGGTTTAGGGTTTAGGGCTTCGGGTACAATCGGGCTTTATGCTTGTCCTTGATATTCTACGGTTGATGATACGAATCCTGCACTACCCATAAGAAGGAATAGACCAGAATTCTCACAGTTTAGGGTCCTTAAGGTAATGCAGGATTTATATCATCACCAGTATCCCTATCTGGTTCTATGTACTTCTAGATGGTTCTATGAAGATTTCATTCTGCACAGAGCGTTGCAATAGTTTTGTAGATAGAATTTAGGACTATAGGCACGCTTTGGGGTAAGCCATATTCGGGATTCGGGTATGTGACTTCTGGCGTGTTGATTTAGGCTTTAGGAATTATGGTGCCAAGCTATTGCAACGAGACCTCGCATGTCTCACTGATGCAGAGGCCGCAATGCGACATGCGGAGAAGATGGACCCGTTTAGGGCCTAATTTAGCGTCTGGCTAGTGATGCTGCGACCGCTGGGTTGTGGGGTTTGGGAGTTTGAAGGAAAAGATCACCAATAGAACCTAAGCCCTAAACCCTGAACCCTAAACCCTAAACTCTCAACCCTGATAGAACACCCCAATAGAACCGCTCCTATGAGCTGATCCTTGCCTTAACATTGAAACTGGTAGGACCCTTTGGGTTGACCCCGAGACTTCGAGAAGCAACATCCCAAAGCCTCCTACCGACCTATATGGGGAGAGGGCTTAGGGTTTAGGGTTTAGGGCCGGTTTAGGGTGGTACTTGCCCAGACCAGAATAGCAACTCCGAAAACCTAAACTTAAAACCTACTGTGGAGCTACTCAGGGCCCTTTCGGAATTGACCTCCAGGCGACCGAAGATCAAGAAGTGTTTGCCACCCTGCCGGCCAGCATTGGCGATGCAGGACCTTGGAGCATTTTGGGGCGTAAATGGTGGCAGGATTTTGGGTTTAGGGGAGTTTGGGCTAGGGTTTATAGGCGTAAGGGTTCTACGGTTTAGGGAAGTTTCGGGTTTCGGGGTTAGGGTTTAGGGTAGGATTCAAGGCTTCAAGGGTTGAGGGCTCCAGGGCTTGGGGCCCTTCAGGTTTGGCCTTTGGGGCTTGGGTCGGATTTCAGGGTCTTAGGGCTTGGGGTCGCATTGGCTGGGGTTCTGTGGGGTCCCGCGACCGGAAAGCCTAACACCTTTTAAGTAATTTCAGTAATATGCACATCAGAAGCACCACAAAACCCTCGTAGAGGTCCAAAGTGCAAGTTCGAGAAGATGTTCTTGTCCGGTGCAAACCCGATGGCGTGGACCAGCTTCGAGCACGTAAGAATAAGCTCGTCGCCACTCCAGACGCGATAACGGCCTGAGGAGTGAGGACAGGCCCAGAGAGCCCCTTAGTTAAGGAATAGACCTTAAATCATAATATTAAGGCCCCTATAATTTGAGGTACATTCCTTAATTAAGGAGTATATAGGGCTCTCTAGGGAACACGGTGTAGGGTGCCTCCGCCTAAAGCCAAACCCCCAGAGCGAAGAGCTCTTCACGAAGAGCCCGGACCCTGCAACCTAAGCCAGTGGGAGTTTAAGGCTTGGGATAGAGTAAGAGCTGGACTCCCAGAGACTTCAATATCAAATTAAGGAAGATACCTTAAATGTGATTAGGGATCCTATTATAACTTAAGGCTTAAGGTATATATTCCTTAATTAAGGGATATTGGAGTCTCTGGGCTGTCAGGACGAAGGGTAGGGATGGTGCAAAACAGGTTCCGGGGGCCTCCGCATTGAACCTTGGAGTGAGTGCTGCCTCCTAGGTTCTGGGACCAGAAGCAAGAGACAGCAAACACTGAAACTGAAATCCCGAAGCGAACTGATTCCTCCAATTCCGTGCTGAGGCTCCGCCCGTGAATGGGGTAGGGCCCGTAGGGGTAGATCTAGGTACAGGTACCGTACACGTGCCATGAGAAATCTCGTAGATCTCCAAAGACCGAAAAATCCACAGGACAGCGCGTTGGCAACAAGGTAACTAGATTGCCTCAACAATGTTCAACCGATTCTTTTCCTAGTGTCCAAGTTTGCCGCACCTCCTGTCTCGTCCACTTGAGTCACCTGGAACCAATGAGTTTCAAGCAATCTGATGTCTCTCATTTAATTACAGGCATAACCAGCTGAAAAAGAAACAAGACAAACAGTGGCTGGGTCGTGAGTCGTGAGGACAGCTGCATCTTTTAAACTGCTCTTCCTAGAACCTTTCAAGCAAAACAGTTCTGAACACCTGATGGGCCACATCCTTACGAACCCATCGGTCCATCAGATCAGGTGTCAGCTCAGCCAGAAGCTTGTCGTGATACCCACGAGCCGTGTAGAATGGAAAGTCGTAGTCATAGTCCCACCAGCCTTTTCTTCAATAGCCGGTCCCAAGAAACTTAAACCTTGTCAGGTAGACCAAGTATATAAGGCCAAAGATTAAAGTTCTCCCCTTGACTATCTAAGCCGCTGTAGTTCGTGGACTCGATGGTGGTGACCAAGTCAAAGTTCTCGCCCGCCGCTGTCAGCTTCTCCCAAATACCGAAAGCAGTGCTGCTGACGACGCGGAAGTCGGTATTCGACTGCTGCAGCAGCTTCAGCAGAGGCAGCGAGGACACACCCAAGCCTACCACACAGACCTCACACTCCATCCTTTTCCTAGCCCTAAGCCAAAACACGCTTCGGCGAGACAGCGACGACATGGCCATCACAAGCTCCAAGCCGGCTTGGCTTTTTTGCAAGCACGAACAAGCTCACAAATCCGCGCCGTCTGATTTCCGACAAGATGCACCATCTTGCGGCTGAAAATGTGTACATGTTATCTTCCACCCGGACATGCAGGCAAAACAACAGTAAACATTAAATTGAAACTATCAGGTTTACGGCACTCAAAACAGAATTTAACTTCAAACCATGAAGCACAAAATCCCGGTGGCCCCGGAACCCCAAATCCTAAACCCTATAAATCCGAAATCCTAAGCCCCTAAACCCTAAACCCTAGACCCTAAACCCTAAACCTCAAACCTTGGAGCTTCCTCTCTGCCCAAGGCGCCGTGCGGCCGTCGCATGTCACTTCGAAGACGCCCGACACTTTCCTTAGCCGCCGCTAGAAGCAGCATAGAAATCATACTCTTAGGGTTTAGGGCTTATAAACCCTAAACCCCACAGAGTTTAGGGTTATAATCCCAAAAGGGTTTAGGGTTATGAACCTTATAGGATTTAAGTTGAAGGTTATATCATACGAAAAGCTTCCTAAGAGCAGTGAAGTTTCAAGCTCGGGACCAGCGACACCTGCTCGAAGGATCCGGGAACCCCATAAAACAAAGAAAAGCTTTGGGTTTAGGGTTTAGGGTTTGCCGGGTTCTTGTTAAGGAACTTGGGCTTTTAAGTTACCATAACAAGGAGCCGATGTTATTCACAATAGGTTCTATCGGGATATTTCAGATAGAAATGCAGTCCGTTGCATATGTTTCCCTGCTGAGCCTTCAACCATCAGTTTTGCACCCGAAACCTTGGCTTAGGATTTGGGTTTTGAGATCAACGGCCTTAACTCTATGCCTTTAGAAGGTAGGCAACAAGCATTTTTGAAGAACACTGTGAAACGAAACCATAGCCCAAGAACGCAAAAGCCTAGAAAGAGGCATAAAGGTCAACCCAGGCCCCAAAAATCCCAAATCCCAAAGCAAACCTTAAATCCTAAATCCTGAGCCCTCAACCTTAACCTTCAACCCTCAACCCTTACATATAAAGGGAGGCCCCAGGTCCGATGCTGATCCGAAGTCCGAAAGCGGCGAAGCTTTAGCCTAAAGCAGCTGGGGTTGAGGGCGTAGGGTCTAAGCTTTATTGTTTAGGGTTTTAGGTTTAGGTTTAAGGAATAAACAAGCTTCGTTTGCTAGAGCTGATCAAGCTTGAGGCTTAGCACAGAGAGCTTAAGAGGTACATAGGGTTTTGCGGGGTGTGGGCGGATATATGACCTTACTGATTATTGATTTATTCTTGTTTATGTGTTTACCAAGTTGTTGCATTGCTTAATTATTCATTTAGGTGTTTACTTGATATATATATATATACATACATACATACATATGCAGGAGTGTATGTAAGAACTGAGCTCCCGAAGCCGAGGCCTTAAACCAAGAAACCATAATGCGTCGAGGGAGCAACTCCCAAACCAGGAGCCGTTTTCCTGAAGCACCTCGCCTCCACCCCCAGGAGGGTTTCATTGCCCCGGCTGTCAGAGAGCCTGAGTGTGTTTTGAGGGGGCCCAGACGCCTGGTCGATGTGATCACTGCCCCGGAAGACAGGGAGTAGCAAGTACTCCATTATCCCACACCTTGTCTCGCCAATCTTCTCTACTAGCATCTCCCCAACGTGCTTACTGCATACAGCCTGTGTGAAGAGAGTTGCATGAAGCTTGGCTCGTTCCTGCAATGGTCGGTTCAAGGAGAGCCAAAAGTGTAAAATTTTCCTAGGATGTTCCTGCCCTGGCACCTCAGAACGGAAGTTCCCCCAGGTACCCTCAACCCTAAACCCTAAACGCCATAAACCCCTAAAAGGAACCCAAAAAGGAACCCCGAAAGAAACCCCAAAATTCGAAGGTACTCCTTAAAAAGGAGCTCTTCCAGGAACCCTTCAAAGGAACCCGCAAAGCGAACCTTCAAGGGAATCCTACACCGACCTCCTCTTGGGGCCTTCTATAGGGTTTAGGGTTTAGGGTTTAGAACCCGATTCCTGGGAGGGTGACCAAAAAACCACAAACCCTAAACCCAAAATGCCTCTGAGAGGATGTCGTCCTGCTCAAAGGTCGACAGCAGCTCCTTCTTTGAGTTTTTGGGTCCTTACGGCTTCTTGGGAGTTAGGGTTTAGGGATCAGGCTTTTTGGGATTTGGGGGGTTAGGGTTTACTCGAGCCAAGCCTTAACCCCAAACCCCAAACCGAAACCTAAAGCCCGAACACTTTCTGAAGCTCTAAACCCTATAAGCCCTAAACCATAAACCCTATAAGCCCAAAACCCCATAAACCCTAAACCCTGCAAGCCCTATACACCCTATACACTCTATAAGCCCTATAAACCCTATAAACCCTATAAGCCCTAAACCATAAACCCGAAAGACTTTCTCAACCCTGGGGTTCTAGCGAAGCCCAATCAGTAGCACTCAACGCTAGACCGTCGTCCTCTTTTGTGGTCAACTCAGCAGCCGATGCTATAGGGGCCTTACTAATTAGATTAGGGTTTAGGGGTTAGGGTTGGGGTTTAGGGTTTGGGGCCCTATTACACCATTGCTTTAGTAAGGAACTGCGAATAGTATTGGTAGTTACGTAGGCCCCTACCTTAGATCACACTATAGAGAGAATGCCCTCCATAAAGCCTATCAATACCCGCTAAACTCTGAACCTTGAAGCCTCACTAAAGCCTTGATAGATCCCTTATAGGCACCCTGGAAGCATTCCTTTCAGTAAAGGAACCCCGAAAGCCTCGAACACTAAACCCCTATATGGGGGTTTCCGAAACTAGGGACCCTAACAAAGTACCCTAAATAGTAGAATCCTCATTATAAGGACCCCAAATTAAGGCACGTACCCCTTATTGCCTTATTTTCGGAAACCCCCATATAAAGCCCTTCTTCAAGAACCCTTGAGGCTGCCCTAACGAACCTTCCATGAAGCCCTGGCCCTACATAACCCTCCAGAAAGCCTCCAAGAACCCTCAAATCGAACCCTGAACCTTTAAACCCTGAACCCCAAACCCTAAAAGCCCTAAACCATGAACTCTGAACCCCTGAACCCTAAACCCTAAACGCCCTTCAAGACCCTTATCGAGCCCCTGTAAGAAGCCGTTTACGAGTGGGTGACTGGCCTGGGCGAGCCATGCGGCTCGCAGCTGCCACTTGCACTTGACCTTCGCTTGGATTTCCGGCGTTTAGGATAGGGTTTTAGGGTTCAGGGTTCGGGGTTTCGGGTTTAGGGTTCGGGGTTCAGGGTTTAGGGTTCAGGGTTTAGGGTTCAGGGTTTAGGGTTCAGGGTTCTAGGGTTCAGGGTTGAGGGTTCAGGGTTTAGGGGTTCAGGGTTTAGGGTTTAGGGGGCCCTATGTGGCTTTCTCCGGGTCTTCCAATGCAGTCCTTAGCTTTGCCGATGAAGTCGTCCATGCGCAAGCTGAAGATCGTCTGCGTATTCTGGATTCCGTTCCACCAAGTCTCGTAAGCAGCAAATCGAGGGCGGCGCACCCTTGCAAATGCTTGGCCAGCCCTGACGGAATTCAGACTCTGACTCGAGCCAAGTCAAGTTGGAAGCCGGGTCATCACGGTACAGGAGAAGCAACAAACAGATCGTCTACATGGGCTCCAGTATGGGCCTTCGCGGTTGAAGTATTTCAGCTGGGGGGGGTGGGGTTTTGGTGAGGGTCATGGATTTAGGAATTGGATTTAGGGCCTAGGGATCTTTTGGGGTTGCATGAGGATTCTACAGGGTCTGAGTCTTATACACTTCGAGATCCTGGTAGGTACCATAAGTGTTAGTTATGAAGCTTGTTCGTCCCTAAACCCTAAACCCCTA